TACACCACCATGGCTGTAAATTATATCACATTCATCATATGTATATCTAATTCCCAACTGTGCCTGCTATATGCGGATACTTATTTCCACAGACAGGGGGCACATTTTTCTGCACACTTGGGGCACTCCCCAGGTGTGCAGAAAAATCTTACATCTTAAAAAAAGGGGGGGGATATTTAAATCTCCCTAAAAGTAAAACACCGCTCTCTATGCATACGCAGAGAATACACTTACTGTTGGGAGTTTGGCAGAGCTTGGCAGTGGCAGCTGTGAGGGAGCCCTGTGCCTGTGAGTCCCATGGAGCGTGCTGCTCCTATCTGGGGGGAATAAGCCTTGGTGGGCCTGGTGGCTAGGAGCTGCACAGGGCTCACCAACATTGCTGCAGCATCACAACCTGGTTGGTTTATTCTCTAGAAGGTCTAGGTGGCTGGTAACTATTTCTCCTATCTTTATGCCTCACTCACTCTCCACTCTGTTTCTCTCCTCCCTACCTGGCTTGAACTCTGTTCTCCTCCTCGCCTTCTGCTTGGCTTGATCTCCACACTCTTCTCCCCACCCCCGGCTTGACTTCCATGTTCTTTCTCCCCTACCACCACCTGGTTTGATCTCTGCGCTCTTCTTCTCCCCCCTGCCTGGCTCAGTCTCCAAGCTCCTCTCCCCCCACCTCCATGTCTGGCTCAGTCTCTGCACTCTTTCACTTCCTTCCCCCATGGAAGGAACCTTGTGAAGGAAAGCAGCTACTGTCAGAAGTTGGTCACTAAGTTACTAGCCTGAAAGGCAATAACATGACATCCTTTAATAGACATTGCAGTTGACTGCCAATTCTTATCAGTTTCAATGATGTCCATTCTGCCCAGGGCAGGTTTGTCAGGGGGACACCTCCAGGTCAACTGCAGCAAGTGCTCTACAACAGTTGCTCTGCAGGGTGCCTCTACATGACACCTCACTGAAAGCTCACTGGGTGACCTTAGGCCCTTACATATGCTCAGCATCACAGGTTGGTTACTATGAGGCAGTGGAGCTGGGTGAGCCGCAGAGAGCAGTGGGCAGGAGGGGGGGGAGCCTCTGCTGGCTCGCTCAGAGTAGTTCCAGGCAAGCCAGTAGAGACCCCCAACCCTGCAACATACCTGGAGTTACTCTGGGTGAGCCACAGTGAGTGGCAGCAGGGGGGGGGCCTCTGCTGGTTGAGCCAGAGCAGTTCTGAGCAAGCCAGCAGAGACTCCCCCACCTGGTAAGCCACAGAAAGCCCAGGGATCCACACTGGGCTCGGGGGGGGGGGATGGGGTTCCCCCCCCCGCGAGTCTCATGGCCCCCAAGGGAATGAGAGAAAGGAGTGAAATAGGGGGCAGGTTGAAAGATAAAGGGAACGGGAGAAAGGAAGGAAATGGGGAGGTAGGTTATCACAGAAGGGGGATAGATTGACAGAGGACAGATGGGGGGCAAAAGAGATGGGGTAGGTGGGGAAGATTGATAAAGAGGAAAGGAAGCAAAGGGGGGGAAGGGATTCATCATCTCTGCAAGTTTCTTGCAGGTCCCCACTTGTGTCTATTAGTATGCATTATGCTGCTAAAAACAACTACAAAAAGTTAACAGATAAATGAACAAATTCCTCCTAATTTATCTTTGTAGGCTTGACAGTTGTCTTGATCTCTTGATTAAAACCGGACGCTTACCAGAAGCTGCTTTCTTAGCACGAACGTATTTGCCAAGCCAGGTCTCAAGGTAACTCTGTGAAGTATTTTTTAAAGTAGTAGTTTGACTATAACTATCTTACTTAACAGCAGATTTGTGTTCCATCAACAGAGTTGTAAAACTGTGGAGAGAGAATCTCTCTAAAGTCAACCAGAAAGCTGCTGAATCACTGGCTGATCCCACAGAATATGAAAACTTGTTCCCTGGATTAAAGGAAGCTTTTGTTGCTGAAGAATATATCAAGCAAACACACACTGACTTGCAGCCTTCCAGCGAATATCCACTTGTCACCGTAAGTGGTTGCAAGTTGTGAACAAATGCATATGAAATCAGTCCGATAACAAAAAAATCAAGGGCTGAGTTGAATTAGATTTACAGCAAGAGTTTCTGCATATGTAACAGTTTCATCTTTCTTTGGTAGCCCAATGAAGAGAGAAACATACTGGAAGAAGCCAAAGGCTTTACACCACAAATACACGCAGCATCGCAGGTCAGTGTTAATGAAATTCTGGGATAACAAGCATCTCTGCTGCATATTCCAGATCATAGCAAGCCGGGTAGACCATGGCTTTTTACGTAGCTGTAAAAAATGTTTATCAGATGGATTGCTTGTCATGCCTGCATTTGAGATTCACTTTGATTGTTCTAATTTTGTTGCTTTTCTACACACTACCTTTGAAACTGTCTTGAATGTCAATGAATATGTACTAGTACCTTTTTATTTTGGTTTATACAAACAACTTATTACGTTGCAATAAGCTTGCGTGATTCCTGTAGCTTCAATAAATCACCTGCCAACTTGAACATTTCTCTATTTCTCTCTTTCAAGTTGCTGCAGGCACTCTGAAATAGCACTAAGCAGTGGCTCTAAAAACATCACTTAAATATATTTTTCTGCAGAATCAAATTAGCCAGTCTTGTAAATGTAAGTAATGCAATTGGTAGTGTTGCATCCCTAAATTAAATAGCTGGCTGAATAGGGGTATAAAATGTTCACTCCGTGTGGAATTTGTAGATGGAAAGCTTAAACAATGCAGGCATAGTGATATACAGCACAGCTTTCTAAAATGTGTTGAGAAATATAAAGTTGGCACACTGACTATGCTGTTCCTAAGAATATTCAGCTTCTTGCTTTAACTGCCCCAGAGGAGGCTATGTACGGAATGTGAATATGGTCATAGTTTCAAAAGTTGCAAATTCACTGAAGAAGTGGCTAAATGCCCATGTGCTGTTTGTCAGGTTTGCTTAGAACACAGCACGATATATGTTACACAAATTAGCTGAAAACTGAGTCCCTGCCTTAATGGATGGCAAGACTAATGAGGGATGAATATGAACAAGTTCTTTCAGGGGGATAAGTTAAAGAATTCAAGGGAGAGAGGTAGGAGTCCTCTTGTGATCAGGAATTCTGTACATCAAGGGCAGAGTCACTCAAAGAGGGCAGAAGCCCCAAGAATGGTAAATGAAACTACAGAAGCAAATGGCAGGCAGGGATAGAGAAATTTGACACATTCTCCAATCTGGGCCTTTTGTATGGAAGTAGTATTGTTGCTTAGTTGCCTAACAGCTGTGTCATTCAGAATACGTACTTTGTGGGCATATACCCAAACATAGAATGGTGGTCCACATTTTCCTTAGTTGGACCCATCAAGCATTTTAAAGCCTTTTATTTTTCATCATAAGGAGTCTGAAGAGGAAGAACTAGTTCCAACTTCTAAGCCAGTGCTAGTGCCTCCGGTTGCAGGGATGGACCCAATTGCAACAATAAAGGATGAAAAGGTAAAAACTCAAGTGCACCAAACAGAAAAGCTTCATCCAGTTGGGAGGCTCCTATTCTGCCAGACATCTGTCTTTCCATTCTTTCACGTTCTCTTTGGCAGTTTCAGAACTGCACAGAATGATGGGGTACAGTGATAAATGACTTTGATCATTTCACATGGGGGAATCACAGGAGGTTAGTCTCATTATCCCATGCTCCCTCTTTCATTTAACTCTGAGTGGTGGTTAAATGTATACATAACCACATTCTGTGAGCAATAAGTGGTGTAAAAAAATTTAGTGAACAAAAACGTTCAGAAGTGTGCAGTTTAAATGACTACATGCAATTAAGTTTTGGGGGTTTTTTTTTGTAATGCACAAACTTAGTACACCTTTGTATGCTGCTGGCTAACATATGGGGGGAGTTTAACCTGGGATACATGACATTTGCATGAATCTACTAACTCTAGACACTTACTCAGCTTGTCTTTAACACACACCCTGGGCCTGTTTTTACTCCTGGCCATAAAGCTACCAAAAACACCACAGTTCTAAAATTTTGCTCACAACTACTATATCTTGCCTGCTGATATACTACAGTGATCAGCCATTCCTGTTTCCAGATTCTGGTTACTTTAATGCAGTCCTAGCAGGGTTCAGCATAATGTCTACCCACCAGAGTGTAACTCTTTTAATTCTCAACACAGCAAGTCCTCTCGAAGGAGTTGTCACTGATGTTGTTGGTAGCAATGAAATAAGTACACTGACTCCCTATTGTCATATAAAAACTACTCGCCCTAATCTGCTTGGACGCAATGAGCCTAACCTGTAAGCTATTAATATTTTACTTGTCTGCTTAAAATGCTATTCTCACAGCATATTACTTATACCACTCTTAATTTTGCTGGAGACTCATTGTATGGTACTAGAAAATCTTGTCCAGTTGCTTCGTTTTCTATAAATAAATATTCTCTGGCTTTATAATGGAATACTTACTATTTGTACAGTCTATAAAGCTGCTTTGATTACCACTCTTAAGTTGTGTGTTAATGTCGTCTGCTGTTGGTGGTAGCAAATAAACACTTTGCAGAGAATAAGGAGGCCCAATGAAGAAGGCTTCTTTCTTGATACAAGTTGGCAGGACTAAAGCACTACAGTTTATGATACACAATGCTGTGCTAAATACCAGGCATCTAACTCTGAACTTCCTGCTTTAGGCCCTATTGGAACTGGACGAAGACTTGGATAACTTAGACCTGGAGGATATTGATACTACCGATATTAATTTGGATGAAGAGATGTCCGACTGAGCCTTCTTAAAAATGACCAAATTTCTTATAAAATTGCTTCTCCCTACACTCGTATTCATTTTTATACTTCAGTTGGGTAAACTAGGTAGGAACAGACATGTAAAGTGCATCAAATAATCCTTTTTATGTTGTTTAGATGTTCTTAGAATCTGTTGCAAACTCTTGTTCCCAAATAAATGTCTTTACAGTTCTGCCTCCTTTTCAATGTCTTGACTACTAAGTATTGTACCTGCAAAATTATGATTTTAATGAAAAAGGTAGAATACTTACTTGATCAAACAGTGACAATGTTTTATTTAAGTTCTATGTACATTTTAGACACTTTAGATATTAAATGAAATGGACCAAGTGAATTGCTTTATGAAGCTTCAGACTGAGGCAAATTTTCTTGATAAGCCTGAAGTGCCAGTTCAATATATCCAGCTCTCTGTACTTCTGTCTTCACAAAAGCCTGTAACAAATTAAAATACGAATGAAGCAGCTTTGGGAAAATTCAACAGCTTAAGTATTAGTTTAACACGGTCATCTTGAAATAGTGAAACTAAGTCACTGTTCTATCTAATTAGTAGTCACCTGGTGAAATTAAGCAGCTCTGACATTCAACATGGCAAGTTATACAAGTGTAAGAACTTTGCTTTTAGGTAGGCTGCTTATGTTGCAGTTACTTCCTTCTTGTCCAGAAGTTAAGTGAAGACAACTATCAGCAGTGTCATCCTACAATATTAATGGATGTATTTTCTAACCTTTTTTAACATTCAAAAGCAGGAAACCATATTATATATACCTTAATTAAATCTAGCTCTTTGAGATCGTGTTCTTGCGCTTCTGTTGCAGATTGGCAATCAGGATGGAGCATGTGATAAAGGGTGACCAGGCTTGTGGCATCATCCAACCTGAAAAAAAGTTAATTTACAATAAGTATATAGACATATGATTAGTATTTCCTGAAAGCATAATGGTACCTAAGGCAGTACTGCATTGAGACCTAGATTTGCACTGAGATTCACATCCATTATATTTTCCTCTGTTCTACCTACAGTTAAGTGTAGATCAGCCAAGGAAAAAATGTTGTTCTGTGTCAGCATCTTCAGGTCCAAACCATGGGATTTATATTGAACTCTATGATTTTGTGACATTTCTAGTTCAGTTCATCTATTTAGATACATAGCAATCACACCCTCATTCATAAATCAGAAGTTTCCCATTTAGGATTTTCTGTAAATTCTTTAGAAGCCTCAAACCAAGCTTAATATAAGTCATTTATGATGTACTTCAGTGCATTGCTTATATGCTGTTTTTAAAAAGTGAGTCTGCCAAAGAGTTGTGTACTCCCTACTCACAAGCTGGGTGACTGACAGTGCAGTCCTATGTAGAATTATTGTAGTGTAAGCCTACTGTACTGAGACAACATTGTATGGGATTGGATTGTGGGTTTTGCAGAGTTTTGTAGTTGCACATGTCCCTTAACTCTGTTAAAAAGACCTGCCTGCTATGTGCACAAACTCCTTTTGGTTTCATTTAAGGCACCTCCCAACAGTTTTAATACCATTAAGTAACTATACCTGCTGTTCTTCACCTTTAAGTGACCATACAAGATTGTCATCAGAATTAGGACTGACAGCTGTGCAGTTCCCATCTGTAAGTTACTTGGAAGTTCTTCTACTTAGTTCATTGTGGTTTACTCATAGTGACAGTATTCATTAAAGAAAAATCTAGTCTCTTCATAGTCTGCAAGGGAATGATAACCCAGGGGCACTCAAGGTCATATTGCTGCTGTATTCCGGGACAAACCCATCCTTAGAGATGTGGATAGGGTTCAACATTTTCAGCTACACCTATACACAAATGCCAAGGATAACAATGGGACCTGAACATGGGCAAAACCAAAAGGAAGCAACAAGAAGTTAAATAACTGGGTCACACTAATCCATCATCCCAAACTTTAAGTGAAAGCTGATTACAGCATTGTTCCTAGTCACATTTTAAAAGCAGTATGATCTAGATGGCTTCCATGAATCATTTAATACAATACTGATATGGGAAACAAGTAACATTTATGGTGATTCCTCTATGTGTACATTTTAGCTCATCAAACAGCACTTACAGATCCCTCTGAATCATGTCCATCAGCAACCCATCTGTCCTCTTCCTATTTACAAGATACCACACCATTCCTCCAAAGTGTCTTGTTGAACGCAGACAGTCATACTTTGCATGCTTATCAATGTTCTCATATGTACGATGATGAACCTGCCCAAGAAAGAGTTGAAACATTGCTTGCTTTCTCGATTTAAATACACATAATCCCTGTAATGTCCAAAATACCCTTCTCCAATGCTAGGAACTCACCCTGATATAGTCAGGCGAATCTGGCTCAAATTGTGTAAGGCAGCGATTAAGGAGCTCTTCATGACAGTCCTGATGAAACACAGTCTAAAACAACAATTGTTACTCTATTTCAATCCTGTTTTATCTCTCAAACAAAAAACCCAAGTCAGAAAAAAAAAATCCAGTTCTAGACAGGAAGTACAGTTCAAATAAAAACATACACTGCTATTCAATTTGAGGCTTCCAGCTAAGTGTTTGGGATTACAGCAATTAGATTTCAGTACATTCACTGACTGACATAATATAAAGATTTTGCTGTTCCTGGAGAAAAGTTATTGCTTTAAAAATTACATTATTTTCCTTATGGATAAGAAATTCTTTAACTTGTTATTGGAAGGAGAGGCTAACTTTAATATTTTCTTAGTATTTTCACATTTGTGGACATTCTAGTGACATTGATTTCAAAACATCAGTTCAAGGTCTGTCACTGTGAAATATCCAGATTAATAGCATCTTAACACAGAGTTCAAATTAATATTTGCCTAAGGTTCTTACTTTTAAAGGAAAGCTAAAGTATTTTCCTTCAGTGAAAAACTACTACATGCTAGTTCTGGATTAAAAACTAGAAGGAAAGCCACCAAACTTTTAAAAAATTATATCTGGCATATATTTTTTATACCAACACATCTAAGTAGCCTGTATGGCACAAAATAATCAGGTGTTCTGGTTTATGGCGACACGCTGGCGTATGCATCTCCCGAACCTCCCGGGGATGTGATCTGCACACCAGCGGAAGGGGGGGATGGGTCGCTACCCCGCTGGAGCGTTGGCAAAAGGCTCCTAGCCATGGGGCTTTTGAGGGGTGGCCTCTTCGCCAGTGTGATGCTGGGGAATTGAGGCGCTCCTCCGCCCCAATGGTCCTGTCGCTGAGTGTCCGTATGGATATAGAGCCGCTGACCAGGACAAGCGTTGGAGATCGAGCGTTTTGAACGTATGCCGAGCGAGGTCGTATGACCAACAAACTGAGTCAGGTTAAAGTGAAACGAGAATTTAAAAAGAAAACTGCCCCCCTGGGAATGGCGAAAAAAGCGAGCGGGGGAGGGGGCCCTCCCATACGCATGAACTAAACAATGAAATACTAAGGGGGGAGCGAATGAAAAAGCGGTGAAATCTGTTTTGAGAGACTTACCAGAGCGTGGATAAGCGCACTGGTGTATTTCAGAGACTTTAGCAAGTTTTTTATGCCGAGCGAGGTCGTATGACCAACAAAC